CGTGCAAGGGCAAGTACTTAAAACCCCTTGCATAGGGCACCAATGTGGCACTTCGTGCCCACAGGAAAATGAGGAGCAAATCGTCAAAAGCGTTCTTTTCACGACAACAACTTTTTTAAACCTCGGTTGAAACTCAAGTTTTTGATGGACTAGCGATCCTTCGAAACTAACACAGACTCGAAATTTTCATAATTTAAGAAATTTTTAGAATTTAATAATATAAAGGGGGACTGCTTCCTTTCACTTTAGGAACAAGTTATGCGTCAATTGCATGGTTCATCGATTAAATAGACCAGGTTCTAAAAAGATATCATATACTCTCTCTCTCTCCATATCATAAACACTCGCAAAGTATTTACGATTAAACATTTCATTGTGTTTGTGACAATTTGTACCGTTCGAGAGAACGTCGAAGACGATTTTTCCGATCGGGTTCTGGCTAATAAAATGTGGGATGAATTATATTAGTTCATTATGATATTTAAAAAAGAAAAATAATTTAACTTATGGGATATTTAAAAGTAAAAAATTATATTACTTTATAGGATATTTTTTTAAAAAAATATAATACTTGTTCATGAGATATTTTAAAAGAAAATCATAAAACTACATCCTTGGGCATGGGCACGTTTAGTCCATAAATCCACTTTGAAATTTATTTTCAAGTTGCTCTATCCATTATTCCACATTATATGGATGAAATTATCTATCTATTTTTCTATTAAAGCATGATTACAAGTTCATGTTTATAAACGCTATATTTTTACACAAACTAATTATTACATATTAGGTCTATATATTTGTAGGGTCTATATATTAGATCCAAAACTATTATATATGTCCTCTTTTTTCACAATAGATTTGAGTTAAAGATTCCTTTTTTTGAAATGAGCTGCATTTTAAAATTCATTTGACAATAAAATGACTGTTATGGATAACAAACATTCAGACATGAGATAGCTTCTCAGTACATGTGTATTTTCAATAAAAATAATTAAAAATTGTAATGCAATAAAAATTTTGTTTTTGAAAAAATCTAATAGACTGTTTTTTAAGATTTTCGGTTATTTTTTTGAATTTTTGAATGTCAGATCTTGTCGATCTGGCCGATCCTGCAATCCAAATTGTTGATCTACCGATCCGGCCCAGTTTTCGAGATGGGCGATCTATATCACAGATCAATTATTTTCAAACCATGATTACAGGTATTGCAGCTGGTGTAAAGACTGAAGTATTAGTATTCAAATTTGGGAAAAAATATATTTTTGTCAAAATCAATTCATATAAACAGGAGTGAATTACGTACAGACACAACAAAAATGATTAAATTATGAAATGAGTCCAATTTTGGGGTAAAATTATGTAGAAGGTTGACAAACCTAAGTTTTTTCTTTGTTTCAAAATTGCCCTTTGGTCGAAGAATAGTATCCTCAGACTGCAAATTTTTTTTTTTTTTTTTTTTGAGTTTTTTGATAGTAGGGTTGTGCCCTAATGTTTAGGGCAGTGCACCATTGGTCTAATGATAGCATCATTGGACCGCCTTCTTTGGTGCTTTTCAAAGTGGTCCAAGGTTGGCTTCCTCGGACCGAAAATACTTACTTTTTTAAGTATTCAAAGGCGGAATGTGCTGCCCATTCTCCGACCGCCTTCTCTAGTGCCCTTCAGGGTGATCTGCGGTTAGCATCCTCAGACCGCCTTAGACTGGCACTGCCATTCACACTGAAGCATTGCCCTACTAAAGAAAAAAACTAAAAAATAATAATAATTAAAAAATTGTTTGAGGATGCCATCCTAGGACTGAGGGCCAATTTTTTTAAAAAATAAAAAATACAGGTTGACTGACTTTCTGTTTAATTTTCGTCCAAAATTGACCCATTTTGTATTTTTCTATTTTTGTCCATACAAAAATTACTTTACAAACAATATTCATTGACTTTAAATTCATCTAATATTCGATTTTCTCTATCCATTTTATGATTCATATTTTATTCGATTTTTCAGAATGCATTTTTTTCCAAGTTTTAGTGCCAGTTTGGAGGTACTCAAAATTACAATATTTTCAAATAACAAGAAAAAAAGATTAACATAGAAGGTAACAAAATTTTGGATAACCTCATAATATTTCTAATTCATCTAAAAAGATATCACTTTCCCCCAAAACCATGAGTTAAAAATATTTAAGTCGGACTCAAATCTTTTTGGCTTGCGTCGCGTCTCTCTTGAAACTTTACCCTCTCATGTCCCTTTCTCTTTCTCTAACCCTCACGCTCTTCCCTATCCTCCCTGCTTGTATAGAGCAAAGGACGTCCCTCGCATTCTTCTCACCCACTCTATCTCTCTCCCTTCAGCATCTCAAAACCCTCTCTCTCCATATCTCTCCCTTCACCATTGCCTTTTATATTGTCGCCCTCTTTCGCCTGCTCATTTTCTTGTCCCTCTCAAGCTTGTTACGCACCTCAATGAATTTCTAGGGTTTTGGATGTGGGGCATTTTATTTTGATGAGCGGAATGGAGAATCGATGCTTCCTAAGAAAGAGGGGAGGAGTTTCTATGTGTTGGGATTCTTTGGTGTTGTCTCCGATGACTTCTGCCATTGCTGGGGAAGGAGAATTTGCCGGCTCTTTGTTGTTGTTGGTTTGGAGGAGAGACCTTGTTTCGCTTCTGCAATAACTTCCTGAAATCACGAAGGAGAAGGAGTGTTAGGGCATCAGCCATTTCCTTGGAACACCAGGAACTCTGCGGAGCTTTCGTCTGTATAGTGATATCACAACCGTTCTACTTCCTCTCTCTCTACAATATATCTTAATAAGAAAGGACAAACCCAAAAGTGCACCATGTATGACCTACTTTTTCCACACATACTTTCTCTCTCTAGAAAAGCATCTTTATATATAGAGAATAAAGCCCCAAGGACAAGTATG